TGGTCCTCAGTTGACTTTTTTTCCTTCCACAAATTATACCATAGGTCCATTTCCGCAGTAATATCGTCCAATTTATAAAACTGGGTAAAATATTGTGCATTTTGTTCTACTTGATTGGTTTTCATGTCGAGCATTATATATGCATGTATTTTTGTTAAGGCAAACGCTGGAGTATGTTCTTGAGAAAAGCGAATATTTAAAGAGGCTATAATTGAATCCAGATACGGTATAATTAACGAACGCTTCCAGTAGTCACTATCACAGTCTGATGGAGGATTGTTTCTATGTATTTGCCTCTTGGTAATTCGAGGGATAGAAATTTCTATTTCCAATTCCAATGCAAAGTCTTGTGCTTTTTTAAGTACTTCATCAATAACTAGGTCGGCATCTTCACGGTTTTTCTTCAGAACGTTAAGGATTACGTTCAGATGTTCTTGCAACTTAATTAAATCCATAGTTTTTGCTTGCAAGGCATTAACAACCGGCTCCAGTAAAGCTGAATATTTTGCAATTATAGTTAGGGCAACAATTAGTGAGGGTTTGGTAACGGCGGCATGCAACTGGTACGCAGATTTTCTCGTGGCGTAGTTTCCTTCGATAGATAGTTTTTCAAGTGATTTCACAATTTCGAGGAAATTTTGTGCAAATAAGCGAATACTTTTGTATTTTTCAGACCATCTAGTCTCACACAGTCGTGATAGATTAGGAGCGGAACTTCTGCGAGTGGTGGATTCCCTGAAAAAGGTTATAACATCCTTTACGGTGCCAACAGTGTTTCTAATTTCCCGAACATTATTTGCATCATTGACAACAAGATTTATTTTATGGTTTGAGCAATGAAAAAATAATGCTCGTGTGTACTTTTTCCTTAAAATCGCTTATACGCCACCCTCTTTGCCCGCCATCGTAGCGCAGCCATCAAAACCAAGTCCTACACAACTATGCGGTGAAAAATTATAGCTAACTAAAAAATTGTCTATTGCATTGGCAATTGCTGGGGCATCCTGTGCTGTCAGCTCCACAAAACCCACAAATTCTTCTCGGACTTTTTTTTAACTTTCATCATAGAAACGCAAGCCAATGGATAGCTGCTCCTTTCCTGAAACGTCGGCTGTCTCGTCGGCTAAAACTGTGTAGAACATGGCTTTCTTGGCTTCTTCATATAAACAGCATTTCTACGACACTTTTCCAGGTGATTCTTCAATTTGATGTCGCCCGACTCAACTCGCAAATTCATTAGATCGAAAAAAACTCCCTCATCTGCTTCTTTTCCTCGTAGAGGCATATCGTGTGTGCCACAGAATACTACACAGGAAATAATAGAGGCCAATATTTGCTTGTTCTCTTCGATTGTTTTTTGGTGGAAACTTTGAACTTGAATGTCCACAGGTATATTTTCGAGAAAGGCATTTGCAGCAGCAGATGCAGATTTGTGAAAGTTATTGGTGGCATGTTTACGACAATCTTCGTGCATATTCCTAAACTTCGTAAATGGTCTGATCATAAATGAACCTAACACTCCCCTTACTGTGCCAGTAGAAGGAGGAAATAAAACACAGTGCTTACACAGAGCACCCTTTAGTCGCTTGGAATACACTAACCATGGTGTGTATTGATCTAACCAAGCATAATTAAATTTTCTTCGCAAATGACTGGCATCGGCTGCAAAATCGTAATTCTTGGGTGGAACCCACGGATTTTTTAACAACTCTTTTTTTCTTTCCATCGTCAGGTGAAATGTTTGTCCTACATAACGACCCAAGTCATTTTCGTGGCAACCATCATTCTCTTCAATTTCGGGATTGACTACAGAGCCAGATGTTGACGGTAAAGATTCTAAATTAGGAGCAGTGACTTTCTTAGATCTCAAAGAATTTAGCGGTTGCTCAGATTCAGATTCAGTTTTAGATGGGCTTGGCGATGAAATTTGATCATTGTTATCATCGCTCCCGCTGCTACTGTCATGTTCTTTTTTCCTCTTGAGAGTTTTAGTAGCTGCAAAACACAATAATGCCGCTATTAGTATTTTATACAGTGTGAGTGATATCCATGTTAGTGTTTTGTTTAACATGTAACATGGAAAAAAACATTTTGTTTTTTTTAATTGGAATTTACAGATATTACACAAATGTCGTCGAATGTAACTTACTAACTGTAACTTACCTGTTTGAAAAAAATTCCTGATATCCATTTATCAGTGTGGAGATACCGAGATGCCCGAAATAGGTAGATTCAGCAGATTTTCCAATAAGTACTGTAACGTTTTTAGCGTGAACTTGTTCGACTACGATGTGATAAAAGCTGCCAATTAATTAAAACTATACTTTTATTAACACTTAACTAAAATTCACTCTGATTAATTTAACTAAGCACACTAACTAGTTTATGTAACGCCTTGTATCTTGCATTTATTTATAAAAGTATTCTATTCTTCAACCCGGCACTGGCGAAATCTGCCCTCGCCGCCCGACATTGTTCCTTTTATATCCGAAGCGCCTGCTTCTCGAAGATTCTCTCCGCAGCACGTACGAAGCTTCGCGCTGCGTCTCGAGAATTCTCCACGCGGCCGGGAAGAGTCAGAGGCGGACTCAGGGTAATTTTCGTTACAGTACAATCTAATATAAATTTCTGACAATGTTTACTAGTGTAACGTAACTGCTAACAACATAGCATAGACGTTTATCAACAACTAAGTAAATTAAGTTTACTTGCAGTACTTGCACAAACAAATTAACATTGAATAACAAATGAAAATAATCGAATTCCATTAGAAAAACAACACAATACAACAAATTCGCAGGGGCCAGGATCGTAATAGAAAATTCATATTTCTTTGCTAATTCCGCTAATTGCAAATCTAGTAGGCTGTGCAGTGCGCTGCGTTTGACTTACGTAGGTATATGAATATATTTTAGTAGTATTTAGTAGTATATTTTTCGGGTTTGTAATTTTTTTAGTAAAACCATAGTGGTTTATTTTGATTTTTTTATTTTCTGCACTTAGCGGAGCCTTTTTATAATTTATAAGAATTTTTAGGGGGGGGCAGCTGCCCCCCCCTGCCCCTCGCTGGGTACGCCCTTGAATATGTTCGACGTTGTCGGATTGTCATTTTATACCTAGGTGAAGTTGTACTAAATTTCAGATATAAATTGGCAAAAAAGGTATGCAAATTTATCATAAATGAACTTTTACTACAAGAGACTATTTTTTAGAAATAGTTTTATATGAATACGAAAATATGAATAGATGGACCCCCGAGGAGAGTTGGGAAATTTTTCACATTGAATATGATACCCCTTTCAAAGAGGAACAAAACTTAATCCTCATGTGATAAAAATAAAAACATTTCTCAATCAACATCATTTTTTTATTGTTTACATTGACATGTTGAAAACTGAAACTTCTTCGGGTCAGGTACCCCTGAAAAAGATAAAAATAAAAATAAGCCACAGGTTTAATTTCACCATTACAACTTCATACTTTTGGACTTCCCATATACTGTTGTCCAAGGGACAATCTTTTCTGGTTTGCAACCAACGCGAGATGCAGTGCCAATGAAAAGTGTGAAGACATACACCCTTAACCATGGTGCAAGGACTGTTGACGGAGGTCTGATTCAGCTTCCTTTTTTCCTGACACTCGATGCACAAATCCGTTATATGTCTGCTGCAGATGGCGCAATCACCCAAGCCTGAGTAAAAATAAGAAGTTTAGAAGGATTATTTTAAGGTGTTTTGAGAATGACTTACTCCAGGACATCATGGCTACTGAGTGCCACTGGAAAATTAATGAAATGAAATATTATAAATAATAGTAATTGGAAAATATGGAAAATTATAAACAATGAAAATTTGAGCATAAAAAAAGGGATAAATACATTTTGAACATCATCCGCGCCCGCTTCCTTTGCTGATGCCATTTTTGTATTCCTTTATTTGAGACTGCAACTACAAATTTTATTGGACAAATAAAATAAATGCCAGCTGCAAAAAAAAAATCGAATTTCACAAAGTTATTGCAACGTTGCCAGCTTATTACTTAGCTTGATTCACTAAGCCATGTTGACAGGGTTGACACGGTCGCCAAGTATACTTGGATCAAGTACCCTTTGGACGCTGTGCGCGCCTAACTTGGATTGTATCAACTCTTTATTTAATCCAACTCCACTTAGATAGATCCTAACATCCAAGTAAGTAGGCTGGCTGCCAACTTACTTGGTCCAAGTTGTCATCCAAGTGCACCATACTTGGATCGGGCACTTCGTCAAGTTCAATAATTGGAAATTCACCTACGCCAAAAGATGCAGGATTCACTAATAAACCATATTGGAAATAAAATTATTTGAAAATCGAATTTTCAAACTGCTGCAAAAATGCGGACTGGGAAAGTGACGTCATTTTCCGGAAAATGCGAGGTTGCCGAATTTTTCATCAGTAAATCATTACACAATGCACTATTTAGCTAGAAACTATTTTCGCCCTTTACTACGTTTTAAAAGAATAAACGATAGGTATAATCGTTGAACTCATTTAAATTTCTGAAGTCTTGCAAAATATTGGTCATACTCGGTTACCACGTATCTGCGGCAAAAAATATCAGTTCGCCATATTCGTGATGGCCTGTGTTGAACAAATCCGCCCTCTCCATCCACCCACGCGTCAAATCACCAATTGGGACGTAGGCAGTATGTTATTTCTCGCTTTCACGTAGGCTGTTTAAACAGCTGACGACTTAAGCCTAGTACTCATAACTGCGAAATTCGCTTTTTTTCTGACATTGCTTCGACCATTTGACGTTTGATTCACGCATAAAACGTCAAATTGTCGAAACAATGTCAAAAAAGTGCGAATTTCGCAGTTATGAGTACAAGGCTTTAGTTATGACCTCGGAAATGGTGACACACCAATATGGCGGCGATTATCAAAAACGAGGCCGATAAGCAATCCTGTAGGTGTGTATCATCCTTGCATCGAAGTGGCCTGTCAAGTCAAATGTCGCGAAAACGACAACATTTACCTCTCGACATTTGTCTGTGATAGTTGAATAAAAGCCCAGTTTGGAAATCGATAAAATCGAAATTTTGTGTACCTTCTAGATGTGCCCTGTGCTCGAAGCACGAACAGACATAATATTTTCGAAAGAGGAAAGTTGTTTACAAATAGGTGAATACATTTGCACTGAATCTGCATGTTGAAATCGCTATATCTTTCCAGCTGATTTGCTATTTTCGAAATATAGGTAGGTATCATAATTTCAATATTAAAATAATAATCATTTGGAAATAACTTTTCGCTATATCAATTCCTGTAAACATAATGTTTATTGATCCGATAAATCGATCATTTTCGCAAAATCCCGATAGCTAATTCCAAACGAAAATTTAAATTCCATTGGTGCAAGTTTTAAATTTTCCTTAATGTGAATATAAATCCAAATATGAATTTTTGCACTGCCCTCTCAAAATGCGAGCTGAGTGTACAGGGTATTTGGTTTTTGACACCCCTGACCCCACCTGCAGGCTTTACATTTACAGGTAGATGATAGGTTTAGCTAAATTTTTAGAGTCCATCGTCACAAACAAAAATTTAATGTCGGAAATTTAGGATTTTCCATACTTTCAACTTTTTTCAAATGAAATACCCTATATTTGATTCTATATTCTTAAAGAGCATAATTTTCCGACTCCAAAAATATGTAGTTCCTCCATATTCGATTCAGTCGTCTCCAACATAATATGTATTATTATTGGCTCTAAAAATTGTAAAAATACCTATCCTACTGACTTATTTTGTGAAACATTTCAGCTATGAAGGGGACAGCTCAGACAGCTGCAGGTAAAATTTGAGGGACTTGGTACCCCCTGATGGTTTTTTCAAAAATTTTAGCGCCAAATATGCAGGAGACGGTTGAAAAAAGTTCAAAATACGCAAAATTTCAAATTTCTGACAATAAAGTTTTGTTTCTGACGATGAATTTTGAAAATTTAGCCAAAATTGCACAACTTTTGTATTTACACCTATCATTGTGAAGGTAGAGTGCAAGTGGGGTGTCAAATTATAACATAACACCCTGTAAATTTTTCTTATCTACAGCTCTTGAATATTAATATCGCTTAATACCATCGATACCAATGAAATATCGATTAATCGATTGGAAAATTAAGCGAATTGACGTCCTGTTCATTCATTAATATTCTAGATCAGTGGTTCCCAACCTTTTTTTTTAAACACGACCCTTTTACAGATTTGCTCATAAGGTCGCGACCCCCTACACCTTAATAAATAAAAAACAAAAAATCTTTATTAAAATATTGATATTTCGTAACTAAATATAAAAAGTCAATTTTTATTTTGTTAATGTGATGACTGAGCTTGCATCTTCGTTCTGAAATTCTTGGTTGAGTTTTGTTGAAGCTAATCTTATGTCGTCTTGAACGCCCAGTCTACCTATTTCTGGCGTTAATTTCAATTTGCAAAAGAGTTGAAAAACCACTTTCACGAAAGTAGATAGAGGCAAATGATATTAGTATCCGAAAAGAAAGCATAAGCAGGGCGACATGAGGGTATGAACTGGGATATGAACTATGCATGGCACATCAAAATTCAGTCAAGAATATGTTCTGAAATAGGGCAGGTGCTGTGGAATCATTCTTCAGTTCTAAAAATGTATCCTGTACTTCATCCAGGAACGTCGGCAACATCTAACGAGGCTTGGAACGGGTTCCTTACTACTGCAGCTTTCTGTTCAGATAACTCAGGAATGACGCCCATTTAATTTTCAAGGGATTGAAACCATTGAAGGTGATAATCAATTTTCTCTTTTAGATTCACCACAATTTCTGTTTCTGATACTTCAGCCATTATGCATAGTTACCTATGTTCAAAAACATGCGACTCACAACAGAACACTCACAATCTGTGCTATGCCCTTCGTCCGTAAGACCAATGCAACGCTGCGCGGCTTTTGAGGCGGAGGCTTAAGCTCAATTCTCACTTGCGCGAAATTCGCCCTTTTTTGACATTGCTTCGACAATTTGACGTTTGATACACGCATAAAACGAAAACGTCAAATTGTCAAAGCAAAAGAGCGAATTTCGCGCAAGTGAGAATGAGGTATAAGGCGTGTTGCCAAATGCAGAAAAATATATATTGGCATGGCGACCCCTCCAAAAACTCTATGCGACCCCCTTAGGGGTCGCGACCCACCGGTTGGGAACCGCTGTTCTAGATGATGCCGCGTGGACATAAAGACTTGAATATCTCAAGTTTGTCATGCTCACGAACCCCACGGCGCCATATTGAATGTTAATTAATTATTGGAACGTCAATTCGCCTAATATCGAATATCAATGTATTCAAACATCGATGGTTTTCTATTGAAGTTATGCTTTTGAATATAATATAACCAAATAATGAATGATTTGAAAGTCAATTTTAAAATAATAAAAAAAATGACGGTGTGTGCTAAAACCACACGACAGAACAAAAGTGTGAACTTCAGAAGTCACAAACCAGTCAGAGCAAATTTAATTGGTTGAAAACAGTCAGAAAACTAGTTTAAACCAATGAAATTCACTCTGACTGGTTTGTGATTTCTGCAGCAACAGACCTATTATCATTATTCTTTAATAATTAACATAACCTAAAAGGGATTGTTGCACCTACCGCAAATTTGGTGCATCAGGGATAGGGGCGTGAACTATGAGCGACTCGAGTGCCTAGCATTTTTAAAAGGAACGTTCAAACTTTTGGCATTTAGCAGCTCCGAGTAACTCAACGGGTAAAAGAAATACAGCAAATGCGTGACAGTCTGGTTCCTGAAAATGCGGTTTATGTGTGGAACGCTTCGGTTCAGCTTTGGTTTGGCTTGGATGTTAGATGATAGAATATTATCCTCTTAAAAATATATTTGTGATAAGAAATCGATATGAATATGAATATAATATTTACCTTTTGTTCCATTTTCACCGCAAACACACTTCGAAAGCGGTAGAAAAATAAAAATCTTGAAAAATTATAACCTAACAAACAAATGTCAGAAATTGAAAACAAACCGAAACAACCAAAGCTTTTGATCGGTAGATTTGGTTAACAGTTGGGACCGAATTTTTCAGAAACCGTGTTTCATAACCTAACCAGATTCCAGGCGTGGTTAGGTTACGGAACTAGAATCGGAAAAACCAAGAATCTTGGTTAATTCACGGAACGTCGCCTTAATATTCATAATAAACGTAATTTCTTCTTTAATAATACATAATAGCTAATAACTATGTGAGAATAAACATTACATTTACGAATTTTTTTTTGTATGTACAGGGTGTCCCATTTAAGATGGTATTGGGGGTTATCTGCTAAACTCGTAGAGGTAGATTTTTTTTGATTTCACATTCCTGGGCCATTTTTTTACGACGAATCGAATGCCGCAAACCTCAAGTTTCTATCTTGTACCGTTTCGGAGATACAGGGTGAAACTTGAATTTTTCACTTTTCGAGGGTAGTCGTTATCTCGCGTAAGAAAAAAGATATCAGAAAGATGAAAATTGTATCTGACGCAGTTTTTTACGTAGATTTCATTGGCGTACTGCAATTTTTTTTCCGAGGTACCGTTCAAGAGATATGACACAAACTCCATCTTTTTTAAATGGGACACCCTGTAAATTTTTACATTTTTAGAATACGCATAAAATTACCTTTTCAATGATATATAGTTTGTCTATATTCTTTTGTAATTTGCCAATATTATTATGGTATCTAAAACTTCACATAAGAAATACCTCTTGCAAATCACATTGAATATTTGATTTTATTTTCTGGTGTGAAAAACTTTGAACTAGCCTCAAATTGAAGGATTGTGCTCCAGTTTTCGCCGTTTCGCGTGCTTGTTCACAAGATAAACTAGAAACTAATCGCCAAGCGACGCTGCATGTCGGGTTGCGGCTAACTGATCACCGACGAGTTTCGTTACCAGCGAGTTGTGTTGTGTGCTGATGCTCATTGTTCATTGAAATACACAAGCGGCAACTAAGAAGCAACTGATTGACGATTCAAGTTTCTAGTAAGTTTCTTTCCAGTTGCCTAATGTGCGGAAGGCCAACCGCTTAACTGTCTACACTACAAGATAAATTTGCCAATCTCTAATCTCATTGGTCTGCGGATAACTGGCCAACCAATAGGATTATGTATAGATTGCCAGTTTATCCATCATATTGCATTACCTGACAGTTTATCAAAAGAATAAACTAGGCGTTAGACTATTAAATTCAGTTACCGAGCATTAGTGAGATATTTGATTATTTCTTTTATGATATTTGCTGTAGGTAGGTACCGGTTAATCCGAAATGACATCAATTTTATTTGCACCATAATAATATTGGCAAATTACAAAAGAATATAGACAAACTATATATCATTGGAAAGGTAATTTTATGCGTATTCTAAAAATGTAAAAATTTACAGGGTGTCCCATTTAAAAAAGATGAAGTTTGTGTCGTATCTCTTGAACGGTACCTCGAAAAAAAAATTGCAGTACGCCAATGAAATCTACGTAAAAAACTGCGTCAGATACAATTTTCATCTTTCTGATATCTTTTTTCTTACGCGAGATAATGACTACCCTCGAAAAGTGAGAATTTCAAGTTTCACCCTGTATCTCCGAAACGGTACAAGATAGAGACTTGCGGTTTGCGGCATTCAATCCGTCATAAAAAATTGGCCTAGGAATGTGAAATCAAAAAAAATCTACCTCTACGAGTTTAGCAGATAACCCCCAATACCATCTTAAATTCTAGCGCTATCCATGGGTCCGTTCTCACACTCTTGTGAGAACACACCTTATGCGCATGACTCAATTGGTATGACTAACCTTCATCGATAATTTTCATTTGCATGAGTCAATTTCCGAGTGCACAATTGAACATATGTTGTATGTCTGGTTTCTTCATTTTTTTTTTTTTATTTCCAAATAGTTTTCAGGAATTTGAAACATGGAGGAAACCGAATTTCAATTATTTCCATTAGATGATTATTCCATAAGCGAAAGGGTGAGCGAAGGTCGTACTGGAGTCGTTTACAAGGGAAAAAACAAAAAGACGGGAAGATTGGTGGCTTTAAAAATTATCAAGTACCAGTAAGTGCCTAGACTCTCATAAAAATATATTGCTTAATAATAGTAATCAAATAATTTATTAAAGACGTGACACTGAAGAAGGAGGCGAGATGCTATTTTCAGCTTTGAGAGAAATAAGTCTTTTGAAGCAACTTCGGCATCCTAACATTGTTTCTTTGCTTGATGTTATCATCGGAAATCGAAAGGAAAATCCAAAGTAAGAACCATCTACTAAATAATAGCATACAGCATACCTACCATACCTACTCTTCCTTATTATCATGCCTCATCCTCTTTCACTCTGGTTCATTAAATCAACATAAAATGGGTTTTACCATGCCATTCAGAGTTTATTTTTAAAGCACAACTTCTCTTTTATTTTAAAGGTTATGTTATTATCCGATACTCGAATTCCTCGAAACGGATTTGGGGGAATATATAAGAAGTATAGCGCCTGACCAATACATGGATCCAAAGCTAGTGAAAAGCTACGTATACCAGATTAATCAGGCACTCCTGTTTTGCCATCAACGTGGGGTCATACATAGGGATCTGAAACCACAGAACTTGTTAATTAACAAAGACGGATTAATTAAGGTAAAAGTTGATCTGATTTTTATGTGAAATATTTCCCATTATTATTTTAGTTGGCTGATTTTGGGGCAGGGAGAAAGTGTGGACAACCAGGGGGAGAAATTTGCACCTCCGGAATGGTTACTTTATGGTACAGAGCCCCAGAAATACTTTTGGGGGCTCCTAAATATTCTTGCCCAATTGATATTTGGTCGATTGGTTGCATTTTCGCTGAGATGGATATGAAAGAAATTTTGTTCAAAGGCGATTCTGAAATTGGCCATCTTCTCAAGATTTTCCAGTAAGAATGTATTCACATTGAATGTGACTAATAATTATTGAACACAATATTGCTGTTTTCAGGATCCTGCGAACTCCAACTGAAGAAATTTGGAAAGGCGTTTCTTCCTTACCAGGATACACAGCAGGTTTTCCCAAATGGACCGATTTTAACCTAAAAAAATCAGTGAAGAATCTGAAGGATGACGGAACTGATTTGCTAGGGAAAATGCTCCTCTACGATCCAGGCCAAAGGATTTCAGCAGAATCCATTGCAGTGCATCCATATTTTAACGATTTAGATCTGAATGTCAAACCGTTTATTGTAGAAAGTCAATGAATTTTGTAGCTTATAAGCATGTTATCTATTTTCTCCATTTGCTTTGCGTTATATTATTTTTACGCACATATAATCTTTTGCTACATTCTTTGATATTTAACCTTTGGTCCTTGACTTTTACTATTTAGGTATTTATTTGTATACTTACAGCTCGGTATACAGTCTCTGATTGTTCACTGTCACATTTTCTGAATCTCTTATTTCTAATTATAGGTCTGTTTCTGCAGAAATCACAAACCAGTCAGAGCTAATTGCATTGGCTGAAAACAGTCAGTTTCAACCGATGAAACTCACTCTGACTGGTTTGTGATTTCTGCAGAAACAGACCTAATAACTATAAATTTTGAATCTGAACTCTTACTAATATTATTCTTTCAAAAAACTCATATTTGTATTTTGTATCACCTAATAAAGGTATTATAAATTGTTTAGTTTTATTTTTTAAACTGCTATTTAAAAGGAGCAGATTGGATTCCACAAATTTCCAACCGCAGACTGGGATTTGCTGAACTGGCTCCCAAATTAGGGAATTATTGGTCTTCAATATACCTACTACTTGTGGGATTTTTCTTGTTTCTGTACAATAATAGCTTAAATCGTGAATGGAAGACCATAAACAATGTTTAGGTGGAGTGAAAATTCCAAGCTAGTAATTCGCCTGATAACCCAGATAGAACAAAGATGTCTCAAAGATGTTGGGATAAGACATTCGAGACGTCTTGAAGATGTCTTCTATACGCCGCAAGACATCTCTGAGACTCTCTATTTGACATCTTTTTTTATCTATTCGTGAACAATCAAGACGTCTTATAATAATTCGGGTAAAAAAATATTGTCCTAAAATCTCATTTATTTAATAAAAAGAACAGTTTTATTTTGCAAATTTTTTTGCAGCGTTGAGCGCCTATCGGACGCCCAGGTTGCTACGGCGATTTCCACCTCTGGCTCTGCGTACCTAATTATTATGTTTATATGTTAACGCGAGTATCCATTACTCGTATCCACTACTCGTTTAATGGTTTATTGCCTTGTCTTGTACACAACACGGATAGGTACACTTCACTTAACAAATACTAAATTAGTGAAATTCCTCGATTAATTCTAGGAAAAACTGACTGAAAATAGGTAGTTATAGGTACAGTGGCTAAATAAACCTTTACATACAGTGGCGACAATAGAGGTTCCGCCGCCATTTTGTGCCCAACCTCTTGCTACTTTTAAATATGAATATATAGGATTTAACTGGACGTCCATCATGAAAAATTGGAAACAACGTATTTGATGTGCCTAATTATAGTCATCGGATACGTTGTTTTCAATTTTTTATGATGGATGTCCATTTAAATCCTATATATTCATATTTAAAAGTAGCAACAGGTTGGCCACAAAATGGCGGCGTTTTCCATATGAATATATAAGATTTTAAAGGACCAATCAAAAAGAAAACGGCAATTGTCGCCACTGTGGTAATAGAGTCACTGTAGTTATAGGAATGTAAGTCCTTATTTTATTCACCTCCATCACCCACCCGCCCATTTTTTTAACAACGTCAAACGTCAACGTCACAACACAATAGTGGTGGGTATGGCTGATCAGAGAGCAGTGGTGTGGCTAAAGTCTTTCGGATTCGCATATCTAGTGCCATTTTTTTATTTGTCTTTTTCATGTTCAGGTTGATGAAAAAGGATGCAAATAAACTCAGTGTGCATTAAAATGTACCAATCGAAAACGTATCACACTTGTGTATGTGGGCGCTTTCTTTTTTCCATCGATGCATCCACCTTTAGACAGCTATTCCGAATTTTATTGACAGTTTTTAGACTAGCCCCCCGATTCTAAACCTCAAGTCGCAACCTATCGACCCCGACTTCTCATTGCCTTTCTACAGGGAGTCGTGACGTTACGTATCGACTTAACGATTGAGAATCATACCCCAGTACTCATATAGGAGCGAAATTTGCACTTTTTTGACATTGCTTCGACAATTTGACGTTTTATGCGTGAATCAAACGTCAAATTGTCATGAAATTGTCGAAGCAATGTCAAAACAGAGCGACTTTCGCGGTTATGAGTACTAGGCTTTAAGTTTTTTTTGTCGGTCTAAAAAAATCAATAAATGTCAAGGTGAAGACGTCTTTAAGGCTGAGTTCGACTTTGTACTCCACGGAGCGGAACGGTATGAGCATGGATATCGTGACGTCATACGCAGAGTGCGCCCTGAACAAGGTCATAAGCCGAACGCAGATGGAAAAAAATCCTGAAACCCTCGTCACAGTTGTCACAGTTTTCATTTTAATTTTATTTTACTAGTGAACGAGTAGGTAAATTAGTGATGGACCTGGAAACAAAGTAGAAGAGAAATCTGGGGAAAAAAACCGGAAACGCAAACCGATTTCTTTTTTTTTTGACAATATTTTAGTTCATAATTTTGCAAAAGTGACAGTTTTTAACTAATTTGTCTGGTTCTCCATTCATCCATCCAGGGAAAAGAGAGCGAATTCAGGGTACATGCTCGATAGTCGATTGTAACTCGAACGCAAAAGAGAACACTCTGAGTGCTTAAACGAACAGGATCTTATCGTCTCGAGCGCGCTCAGAGAGTTTACAGAGAGTAAAGCCAAACTCAGCCTAAGCATGTGAAAACGTCATAAAAAGTATGCATAGATCTGTATCTATCTTCAACACATTACAAAAGTCCTACAATTCGTCAGGCTCCATTTCTTGAGGTTTTTCGAGACCCACTTGTCACAGACCTTGTTTACTACTACTACTAACACTGGAGTAGCCGTACGCGGATTCCGAGGACTGTCGAATTCTAAGCGACATGTCGTGTTCGATATTTCGTATTCCGTGTACCGATTTCCCCTTATGTTAAATGTAGAAATCGACACTAGAATTCGACATGTAGAAAGCAACAGAGCCAAATCCGCGTCCACAGGATTTTGTCTGGGGAGGGGGGAAAAATCAACGCAGGAAGTGTTTCTTGTTGGTCCACCGCGAGCGCTGCAGGAAACAAAGTGACGCAGGCGCGAAATTTTTCGATGTCACGCCCTTTTGTTGGGTCGTTTTACGGTATTTTTGGGACTGTTTATTTCAATTTTGAAGAATTATTTATAAAATTTAAAAGGTCTTGGGGGGGCAAATGCCCCTCTGCCGCCCCCACCTTGGCTACGCCAGTGACTAGACTACTAACATCACAAAAAATCAAAACAGTGCAATTTTTTCCGAATTACGATGTTTTATATGGCTGGTCCATTTCTTATAGAGGCCCAAGTAAATATTTTCGATATCACAAGCAAAATCCGAAAGTAAGTAATGGCGGATCCTTTTCTTTCCAGCCTCATTATTATTGTTCGTCGATTTTTAACTGACACTTTCCGTATGAGGAGCGAGGGGGTGTTTCATGTGGCAAAAACAGGTGTGATGTCAGGTAACCATTGGCGTTCTAATGTAGGGAGCCACCAGCTCACATTCCGTCCGAGTATCAGATTAAAATCGACGGACAATATATTGGCTTTCTTTGTGACCAAATTAAAAAATGCAAATAGAACTTTGGTACATAAGCTCTCAATAATATGTATTTTTTTTAAAAGGTGATGACAGATTATTTGTAGGCACTTGATTGCGCAACTTTTTCCCCATTTGGTCCACCCTGTAACTTAAATGGTTTCCAAAATCCCCATGTATGAGCTTCAAGTATTGGCTCATTGATCAATGAATCATTAGGGTTGATATTGATATGTCTTTTTTTTTTCTGGTAACACGTATTTGGTTGAATAAAAGGAAACAAAAACATTCGTATATGGCCAATATGATTGAAGGCGAGACTCCGGAGGAGAATATAGGAAGATTTTCAACATCAAAAATGACTTCAGTCCTTCCACAAAGGAACAGTTAAGTAGTTGCGCAAGGAGAATAACTGGTGCGAAAAAAAATAATTTTCTAATTTCATTAATATTCCCATTAGTTTTTTCGCCTTATATAGGTAATTAACTGGAAATCTTCTGTTCAATTTTCGTTCATCAATAAAATAATTTGGTTGACTTAAGTTAAAGTCGTTTTTATTTAGGAACCTTCATCATATTTCCGTGAAAAAAAGTATTTAAAAGGCCCTTGCCAAACATGAAGCTCTATAAATGATTATTTTCTGAGAAATTTAAAATTGAAAAACATTTTCGATATTTTCACAAATTCAATAAAACGTTGCCAAATAAATCTCCATAATTGCACCAAATAAATATGATCGGATTTTCATTTTATTCCTCCTAGGTAAAGTTGTACTATTTCAGATATACCTAACTATACAGGGTGATTTACGTAGGTAGCCTGTGCATTTAGAAGTTTTTAAGATTTCAGGGGGATTCGAAACTTCAAATTTGGTTTGTAGTCATAATCCATCGTTCCGGTGTCACTTCAAATATTTTCAGATCTTCATGCAACCATACACGGTGTACCGAATGTAAATACTTACTTTCTTATTTCAAATGGAAACTTGCTTCTTTTTCAACATAGTTCGTTGGCCTTGCAATCTTCAGTTTGGACCACCCAAGTTTTTTCAACTTATAGTTTTTGACATAGGTACCTGAATGTAATTTTTTTGTTTTAAATTGCCGCTGCAGTTGTTCAGTTACAAACACATCTTGACATGTCTCGTGTTTGGTAACCCATGCTTTAATTAACAAACAACACCCATCATAGAATATTTATTTATAAACAAGAAAATTATAATAGGTACAATAAACATTGTTCATTATTGTTCAGATCCGCTACTGCTAGAACTACTTATATTTTTGATAGCAAAAGTATTCCATAGGTTCAGATGATTTTGTTCATTGATAATTCTTCGAAGTAATTGTCAAATACCGCCTCCTCTGTACACTGGCAAGTCGTACGATTCTTTCTTTTTTCTATACTTCTTCACAGCAAAAAAGATGATTACACCAATCAATATCAAGAAGAGAAGCACTCCAAAAACTATAGCTGATATTGCTCCAGGACTTAATCTTGCATCTGAAAATAACAACAATTTCACTTGCCTTTATGTTAGTTCCAATAAAAAATTACTTACGGTATGCATTAAGATTATAACTTATTCTATTATTCATTCTGTCGATTGCAGATATAATTAAGTCAGGGTTGCAACAAGACGCGCTGTAAAACCCAGTGACCGAGTCCCTTGTACCAGATGTGTAGCCATAGGGAAAGAATATGCCTTTGGGTTCCGTCTTTAGTTTGAGTAATCCTTGAAAAAAATATTAGTTATTGTCTGGCCAACGAATCTGAAGCTAGGAGGCATCGGTGAGGGGAATGCAGTTGCTAATGTAATAAAATACCCAGCATGACAACTGCATGCGGAATTTTTTGAAAGTATTTCATATTGCAAGGATTTAAGTATACTTCATGTCTAGTATTTTTGCTTTTCTATACTTAAACGTGGCAATCTCGAACATTTTCATTAGAATTCCTTCCGTAGCTTCAGATCCAATGATCAGACAATAGGTGCGAATTTGAAATTTATTCAGCGCTGCCAACAAAAAAACGACTGAGTTCATTTCTTGGAAAGTGGAGTCAACCAAATTTAAAATTGTTAGGAACTTTATACTTTCAGATAAATGCAGAAAATCCTGAAAATAACTGATCCATTGCAAGGCTATTGAGTCTACCTCACATTGAGTTAATTGAATATTGGTCCCCAACATGTTACGCTAAATCAAAATGTCATAAAATTTTAAATATAATACCTGATCCTGTATCTCTAGCTGTAATCTCTATTCTCCAAGTAGCTCTACTGCATTTGGAAAATATGACCCGCCTACAATCGCTAGTATATTTGTAAGTAAGTTCTGGTTTGTCCTGGTCGAATAATGTCGAACCGATATCTACGATTACTCTTTTTTGTACCACGTGCCCTCCACTAGTTGCAGAAAACGTAATTTCATCTTGATACGAAATGCCGGATTTTGGGTTTAGGTACAAAGTTGCTACTGTGCTTTCTTGAGGTTCCAGATATCGCCTATAAAAAAAATGTGATTCAGGTACCTACAGCCAAAAATAACAATTTTTGTTTTACTGATATTCCGAAAGGCTTTGTAAAATGTATTTGGAATCGCTGCAGGCGAAAAATACGAGTTGAGCGCTGGCTCCACGGTTCGTTACTTCAAAATATACTTCAGATCTTCTGGCTGTGGGTAAGATAAGTTCAGATCCTAGTCCTACATCGACCATTATTGTTTCTTGGGGGATAATGTCACTTTTACCAAAAAAATACCCCATTCGTTGGAAAATGTTACCTAAAAAATAATGTGACAAATAATGTTAATAAAATTAGAAAGTGTCATTTACCTTTAACATCCTTTCCTCTAATCAGGGCGTAAAATGGTTGTGGGCGTTGATGTTTGTCAATTTCGACATGGACTTCTTTATCTGCGATATCTCTCTGAATATCGGTGGCGGTGACATACTCGAGACGATTTTTGTTGAACTGGTAACTCGCATTGTTCAACATTGTCTGTCCATTTTTATCTACCACACTTATATCAGTTATATGACTTATATTTCCGGTAACACGTAATTTGAATACACCCTTTGAAATTTCGTCTATGTTTGAATCTTGAAATTCATCAAAGAGACTAATATTTAGTAAGCCAAGAGGTAATTGAAACATTTTGGTATTCTTACCATCATCATCGCTATGTAAAAGAGCGCTGGCAGCAATATTCGTAAAAGCAAACGTACTAACATTGTAATAAAGCTTGGAGTTTTTCAATGTTAAATTCCAGATTCCTATAGCAGGCCGGCTTGTAGTGGAAAAATTGAGGTGTATCTCAAAACAATCTTTATTGCTTTGAAATGTTGAACCAGATGAGTATCTGATGTGTCTGGACTTTGGGTTGTTTGAAAATGAGAATTTATAGCCTAAATAAAAAGCTTGGGTGAACTGTAATTTTGATTTTTATGGAATTTTTACCTGTTGGTGAAACTAGAACTCCATCGGTACCATTGGAAGGCTTTACAATTATGTGAATCCCAGTAACGTCGTGATCTATTGGAAATGATAGTTCGTTGGTACCTATTAAATTCTTTTTTAACAGAACTATAGACAAATTAGCTGGAGTCACGTGAAAATTACGAGTGTAATCTTCGTGATCGCTTTGTTGGTTAATTTTAATTTTCCTGCCTCCAGAGAAATTTCTGATGTTTTCCAGTGGATGCTTGGAGTTTGTGTCATTAGAATTTATTGTATAAACCTGAAATCATTTCAAATTGGTAGCTCTAGATATCGAAAAAAAATGCAAAACAAACACTTACTTTGATATGCTTACTTAATACAGTGTTTAAAGCAGCATTTTCCAAACTAGTGTCCATATCGAGCTGCGAATCAGAAAAGACTACAATAACTCCATTTTTTGGCAAAAGCTGAGCTGTGCTGAGTATTGAATAAAATGTTAGTGACTCTTTGGCTTGTACATTTGCTTTTAAGTTGCTTTGGGCTGCTAAAGTTTCCAATGTTTTGTCGAATTCATCCATGTTCTTATAACTTCTCGCCCAAACATCAGAAACACCTCAAAAATTGCGTTATTTTATATAGTTTCTTTATTCACAAAAACAGCGTCAGCTTCGAAATTTGAAGGATTTTTGTTTTATACATTAATTAAGATGTCACCTGCACAAATTTATTTCTAGTTTTTGAGAAGAATTACTTATATTTGAAATTTTTATTGTTTAGTAGAACAGATGACATGAATTGTGTTTAGAATTTAATGAAGAATTGGCACGAAAAAAAGCTTTTTTTTTCAGTTCTCCGTCGATCACCTTTGTAGTCAAATACAAGCTGTGCAAATACTTCAAGTACCTACATACCTGATGAATTAAAAGTAACCAACAATAAATCCCGATCGCTCAAACTATGATCACTTGCAAGAGACTCTACAAAACTTGAAACTTTTCGAAAATTTCGAGGCGCATCATCAACAAGAAGAGCAATATTTTTAGCATCTATTGCTATATCTTCTAGCGATATATCATTTTCTAACAGCTCAAGTTCGCCTTTAATCGCAGTACACAAAAAAAATGTAAATAAAACTATTTTGTTATAATTCATTATGAAAATTTGATTTTTACTAATCGATTTTGTCAGATATGTTGGCTTTTGTACTAGAAAATATGACCAACAGTGGGCTAGGTCGGATGTTCGCAAACAAAAACACCCATATTGATAAGAATGTATTCCTTATGAACAAATGTGGTAATCAGTCAAGAATGGTACTGTAACGCGTTAGTCGTATTTTCCATTATTATTATTATTTTTGAAAACGGAAGTCTGAGTATTCCTAAAACATGATGGTAAAAATCAACATATATTTTGAGCCTATTTACTTATGCAGTTCAGTAAATATTTATACAGAAAAATGTCAGCTCATTTAATGCATTGAGATAGATAGGTATTAGGTGAAATAAAATATGCTTGGCCGTATTTTAAAAAATCAAGCTGATGATGAACGGTCAAGAAACGTCGCATTTTGAATTTGACAATCACATTTTGTACAGGGATAAAAGTGGCTCTAATAAAAATCCATTCATATTGAAATTAAAGGCGCATGAAAAAATGAAATCGATTTTGCGGAATTTCGGTTTTTTCCAGATATATATTTTTGGAAGTATTCGGAATTTTTCTATTTAATGTCATTGGAGGTGGCTCGAATTTTAAACATCCTGTACAGGGTCATTGGCCACGTTTTGACAACTGTCTTATTTGACATTTTTATTTAAATTTCACATTTATAGGTGTTATCAAAAAGTGGTTTGGTAAACTACAGGGTGTTCCATAAAGAATTGTCAGAACAATGATGAATTTTTTTTAATGGAACACCCTGTATATTATTACATTTTTGGATTCTTCAGAAAAATCTAGATCTTATCTATGTATGATAATTGTCACGGATTTCGGTTCACTAAAACTCACTTCACCAATAGTGTATTGGGGATTTATCTAGAAAAACTTGGCGCCTTACTTAAATAGAATTCTCCGAATTGTTTACTCGACGCGCAGACAATTGCATTTCTTGGAATCTAGCCGGGCTCCCGAGGAAATTTCGTAACACTGCCTTCCTCTCAAATCAGATCGTCCCGATCTGCCTACCAAGACGCACCACCTTCTCTTCTTCGTCTATATCTCCACTCAGATCCATAATGATTTAATCTCTTCTTTTGCCTATTATCTCTATGCCTGTCTAAGTGGACTGCGACTTGAACGCAGCGCCTGACTTCCCAGATCTACCCTGATGTATGCATGGCTCTTCTTCACTTGAATCGACGTCATAGATGATCGTAGCACTCGTAGCACTCCTCTTCATGGAAATTCTGAGAGCGGCCGTTTGAAGTATAACTTTGACCTTCTGGATCAGCATCAGTCGTGATCGAACCATCTTCTTTTTCCTGTTTTTTTTTTCTTCGCTTGTCGGTTTCTTGTAGCCTTTCTGCAGTTTCTTGTTGCCTTGCTCTTAGTTGTACCTTGTAACTGGTAAAGCTGCCTTCGGTGTTGATCTCCGTAACGACGCTCTAAGGTGGGAACCCGGCGGAAGGGTCTCTAATGAATCTAAGCCCGGTATTCATAGACGGGTGCTTGGCTCAAGCTCCGATTATTGACAGTTGTCGTTCCGTGCTGTTTGAAACGTAAATATGGCGTCAAGTCGTACTTGAGCCAAGACGCAACCTTGAACATCGACTATGGGCCTATAAGGCTGGACCACGAAATGCTACAGCTACAATCAAGCCTGTAACCATGTCATCGGAGCTCCAACCATAAGCCATTGCAGCAGTCTCGAATTGACGTCTGTACATCGCCCATGATGTCTGTCCGTCGTAAGGTGGTGGCTTAACTTTAATACCAGGTGCAGGGGAGGAGATATTGCCTGACCAAAAAGTTGGACTTGAGTCCAACTTTTTGATTTTATTCTGAACACTAGGTACCTATTTATTTTTTGGCGGAAAGTTCCAACTTCCTGACGAACAGTACCTACTAATTTTCCTGATGAACAGTTTCAACTTTCTGATAAACATTTCCGATGAACATCGTGACGTACATTACCAACTTCTCCACGTACTTCTTCCGCTGCATTCGTGAATTTATCATCTTGTACTTCCAGAATTTTCGCGAGTCTAGTTTGTTCATTAGAGTTGTGGGACAAGCTTACTACAAGTTTTGATTAAGGATATTCTAAAACTAAGTTGTATCAATGTTTGTTGTTATAATAAAACAGGGTGACCAAAAAAATCTTGATTATTGTTCACCAATTACCATCCTTCTTAACTGTCACCCTGTATTATTAAAACAACAAAAATTGGTACAACTTAATTTTAGAATATTATCCAAAACTTGTAGTAAGCTTGTCTTAAAATATGACATTTTTGCTGTTTGATTTATTAAATTTTGAAAATATTTTGTTGTGATCACCCTGTATAGTATTGAAACAAAAACTAGTCTATCTGGGTTTGAGACCATTCTAAACAAGAATTTCCTATCAGATTTTTTCTAAAAAAGTCCCTAAAAGTACTAATTGAAATTTGAGCCTCTAAATGTGGACACCCTGTGCACCAGTGTCCAGTACAGCCGCAGATATAAAACTATAAGCCTAAAGCCTAGTACTCAATAACTGCGAAATTTGCATTTTTTGACATTGATTCTACAATTTAACGTTTGATACGCTCATAAAACGTCAAATTGTCAACGCAATGTCAAAAAAATGCGAATTTCGCAGTTATGAGTACTAGGCTTTATAGGTGCCAAATACGAGTAGATACTTTAGAAGGGTGGCCAGTCCTTAGGCCGGACAGACTGTAGAACGTAGAAATACCACAACATCACGACCACCCACTGAATTATATTAAGTCTGTTTCTGTAGAAATCACAAACCAGTCAGAGCGAATTTTATTGGTTGAAAACAGTCAGAACAGAAACAGTCAGAAAACTAGTTTCAAGCAATGAAATTCACTTTGACTGGTTTGCGATTTCTGCAGGAACATACCTATTGTTTTACCATTGCAAACAAAACAGGCGAAAATATTTTCAAATCTTTATTTCATAAGTGTTTTCGTTCAGTGTAGATGGTTTCTGCGCTAGCCTAACTTTTTCTCTAACTTATGTGGTATAACTGTCAAATTTCCCGCGGGACTCGGAACCGAGGTCACCGGAGACAAACTAAAAATCATCAAAAGTTCCCTAGTCGCTGGTTTTACATTGCCTAGCCATAAATTAATAAATATCCTAAAACTATCCCTTCATTTTGGTCTCTTTTAAACAACTCCTATGACTATTTTTTTAAATTTGTTTTATATTTTTATTGGCGCGACATCTATAATTCAGCAGCTAAGGTTTTCTGCTGACATCTGTGATATAAATGATGAACTTCAACGTTTAATTGAAAATGGTATTCATTTGAACCTGCTCGATCTACTCCAACAAGTTCTGGAGTCAAATTCTCAAAATAATGGAGTAGCGCTTTCGATCATTCCCATGCGAATGCAGCTTTAGTGTTCCGAGAATTGTGTTCTAGATCAAGCTGGAGTAGTTCTAAATTGGAACATGTGAAAAAGTGACATAACAATAATGACTGCTTTCATCTCATATCGCGTGTGATTTTTTTTGAGTTGCCCTAATAAAAATTAAAAATTCTCTTATAAAGTTCACCAACAAAATAATTCCAGATTTCATTTACAATGGCTTCATTAGTGATTTCTCGTATATTCGTTCCAGGTAAGCCCCTAGCTTAAAATAAAAGTCCGGCGAAAATTGAGGTTATTTTTTTTTTCAATCTCTGTTAAAAATTCCTTGTTTTAAATTTATTTTCCTATTGTCAGCCACCCACAGATCGCTCAGGCACCTACTGAACCGAAAATCCATTGCCAAATTCCACAATTATCATGCCAAGAACTTACAAATCATCATCCCCCAATCGAACCAGAAAAGATTGTACTCTGAGAAAAAAGTATTCGAAAGGAACAAGCCCCATTGCAATGTGGGTACCATTGGTCATGTGGATCATGGAAAAACCACATTGACTGCAGCTATTACCAAAGTACTGGCAGATTCCAAGTTGGCTAAAGCTAGAGGCTATGCAGATATTGATAATGCACCTGAGGAAAAAGCAAGAGGTAAGTGAACACCTTTCGGTTATTGCTTATTATGCTTCAAGTATAAACATGCCATAGGTGAATTGGTATAATATATGTGAATGCTTTAAATACATTTTTGGGCTTGGACAACTATTTACACAATTTCACGTAGGTTACTGAAACAAAATAAGGGAGATTCCTTTTACTATGTCCTGCTTCTGCTTATTTAGAGCACACTTTGGGCAATTATTATCCAGCAAACTCAATCATGCAGGTACTCTACAGATAAATTCCAAATTTTTCTGACAACTTTCATTCATTAACAATGCCTGTGAATAATTTAACATTTTGGTTGTCTACTTTTAAAAATTAGGGTACATACCTAAATACTGCTTTCTGATTGCACTTTGTTGAAAAGTCCTCAACTTCGATTTAGGAACCTTTTATGATGTTTTACCATTTTTTCCAGAAAGTTCAGATATTGTTCAAATTGATTATGTACTTATAACAGTTTTTGAAGTCGAAGTCTTCTTATTTGCAATGGAAGGTGATTGAAGATATTTATACTTTTACATATAATTGAATTTGAGTTGATTTTGGTATAGGCAATGGAAGTTTGCATGTGTATTTTGTACCTTGATATTTCATGTTTATATTTCTTAGATTGGACAAGACGCTTCCATTAAAAACAACTAGGCAGTGTTAATATTTTATGTGCTAGAAACAATGGTTTACTTAAATGAATTTCTTTACTTTGCTTTAAACATGTAACAAATTACTATTTTTTGTAATATGAGTAAATCAAATAAATATTGGGCACAGCAACCCCAAGATTCAATAGTTGAAAAATATGTATTTTTAACAGTTGGAAAATCTAGTTCCCTTAACCATTTCCTGTATGTCTTCCACAATAGGTGTGTGTCTTATACTTGCAGGTAGGTACTTGTCTAATTTGTTTTCTTTACAGCATATCTCATTCAATCGATTCCAAGTCTTCTTTATGGCATTTCTAGCATTTTGGATTTTTCTATCTGCACAAGTACTAACTCCTTTTTAAATTCCTTACTTCAGTCTTTTCTATTTTGGAATGTCTTTCAGTGTATTTATTTGGATTTTGGCTCAGTCTTACATAATACTTTTCTTTTGCTATGTATGTTTTTTTTGTATTCTTGTGTAATTCAGTAATTTTGGTTTAATATTTTGATTGTATACTCAGCAGGGTTGGCATGATTTAAATCAAGTGACTTTTTTGAAAAAAATCAATGATTTATTATAGCTATTGAGAGAATTGAGTTTGAAATTTTTTAGAAAAAATTGACTAAAGTTTAAATTTGAGGCTCAATTGCTCAAAAAATATTTGAGCTATGAGAACCAATTTGCAACAGATTTAATGCTCTTTCTAGTGATATATAATTTATTTCAATTTGCTCAAATTTCATATAAGATATGAGCAATTATTCCTAACCTTGTCAGAATTTGAAAAAATTTCCAGAGCCAAAATTGAGATTTTTTTTGGATTTTTTTGCGCTTTGAAATTGTGGAAATGATGTTTTTTTTTAAATTAATTCGGGCCCACTCTATTAATTAAAATGGTCAAAATTTAAAAAATATAAAAAATAAAAAAAATTGAATTTCTGGGCATTTTTTGGATTTTCGTATCAAAATTTTGATTATTGAATCAAAATTTCCAGGAATTGTAGTTTCCATTAGCCTCCAAAAATGTGTACTGAAAAATATGTATATCCAGGTTTATAGTTATTGAGATTTTTAACAAAATTTTGACTTAAGTTCAGTTTTTAGGCTCAATTGCTGAAAAAGTATTTGAGCTTTCACAACCAATTTAGCACAGTTCCATAGGATATTTCATGCTCTTTTTAATGATATATGATTAATTTCAATTTGCTCAAATTTCAATTAGGATATGAGCAATTATTTCAAAGAAAATATTATGTCTGACTTCATAATTTCCTTTATATATTCGATTTAAACAATCTGCTAGTAATTTTCTGGAAAACAGCAAAATCACCCATATAGGAAACTGTTATCCTGTTACCCACATTGTCACGATTTGCCCAAAGTGGGTCTCTAGGTGCATTTTAATTTTGCATAGGTGCCTACCAAAAGAAAAATAAATATCATCATGCTAATATTCTTTCAGGTATCACAATCAATGTTGCGCATATCGAGTACCAAACAGAAAAAAGGCATTACGGTCACACCGACTGTCCCGGCCATGCAGATTACATCAAAAACATGATTACGGGAGCTGCGCAAATGGATGGCGCTATCCTCGTAGTCGCCGCCACTGATGGCGTGATGCCTCAGACCAGAGAGCATTTGCTTCTTGCCAAACAAATTGGTGTCACAGACTTAGTCGTTTTTATTAATAAAGTTGACACTGCTGATAAGGAAATGGTGGAATTGGTTGAGATGGAGATAAGGTAAAATATAATTATGTACTTATTTTTCCAAAAATTACCATCAGACCAGAATTTTCTTATGGGGCTTTGATTTCACTCAACTATTTAGCTCTTGCATAGATTTCAATAAAATCACCTACCATGTCTATTGCCACTCTAGCTTTTACCTTTACAGAGAATTGTTAACTGAAATGGGCTTTGACGGAGACAGTGTACCAATAATATGTGGTTCTGCCTTATGCGCACTGGAAGGCAAAGATCCCGAGATTGGTAAAAATGCCATTCTCAAATTGTTGGAGGCAGTCGATGTACATATTCCCACCCCTGTGAGAGAATTGGACAAACCGTTTTTGTTGCCTGTTGAACATACCTATTCTATTCCTGGTAGGTTTATTCCAATATTCATTACTAAAAAAAAATTATTATTGTTAACTTCCCTTAGGACGTGGTACAGTTGTCACAGGGAGATTAGAAAGAGGCGTCGTGAAGAAGGGAGCAGACTGTGAGTTTGTCGGCTTCAGCAAAGTTCTTAAAAGTACAGTCACAGGAGTTGAAATGTTCCACCAAATTCTGGAAGAAGCTCAAGCTGGTGACCAATTGGGAGCTTTAGTGAGAGGACTCAAAAGGGATGATATCAAAAGAGGTAGTTTATGCTTTTCATTTGCAATAATGAAACCTATTTAGTACACATTTGTTATTGCATTTCATATTAAAACAAAATCTTCTTTGTAGGAATGGTGATGGCGAAACCAGGTACAGTTAAAAGTTATGATCAAATTGAAAGCCAAGTGTATGTCTTGAGCAAAGAAGAAGGTGGCAGAACGAAACCCTTCACTTCTTTCATCCAACTGCAGATGTTCTGTAGGACTTGGGATTGTGCTGTGCAGGTTGTAGTTCCGGACAAGGAGATGGTTATGCCTGGTGAAGATTCCAAGTAAGTTCATTTTTACATTTTGTAGTTTATTCATTTATCCATTGACATTTTACAAATACAAAATAAGCATCAAAACAGTGAACACTTGATATATAATTCTACAACACACAATACAGATATAGTATATCTTGAACACAGTAAAATAAAATTAATTCAACAGTTAACTGACTCTTTGCCTATTTGACAAACCAATGGTCCATGGCGAATACAGCAATCCTCACTTAAACTAAACTAGAAATTATTTTTAAGTAAAATCGCGCTGTTTTATGTCTACAGATTGATTTTGAAAATGATGAGACCCATGGTCCTGGAACAGGGACAAAGATTCACCCTCAGAGACGGTTCAGTCACTTTGGGAACCGGAGTAGTGACGAAAGTTTTGCCTTTAATGAAGGAAGAGGAAAGGCAAACGCTAACAGAAGGCAAAAAAGCCAGAGAAAAGAAAACTGCCACCCAGCAGTGAAGCAAAAACTGATATTGTGAATTTGTTTTAATGTTTATGTTTAATTAATTTTTGAATTTAATTGGAATATTTTCCACATGGAAAATTCACAGTAGTGCATTTACCTACTACTATCAGGCTGTATCGCTTCTAGATGTTGCTAGAATATGGAATATGCGCTGTTGTTATGCTTCATGGAACAATTAATAGGTGTGTAGCTAGCAAAGTATCTGATTTTCTTTTCATTGTCTTGCAAAGCACAAACCCATGTATCGCATAGGGTTTGTTTGTTTGGGTCGCAATAACTTGAACTGAGCTGTAATATTTCAGATTATGGCAGATAATAACCATAATAACGTTCGTCAGTTCATTGCCATAACACAAATGAACACGAAGCGATACAACCTTATCCTATGAGGTAAATGCAGTAGAGTGTAAAAGTATTTTGCATATGGAAAATATTTAGAAATGCACTGACTAGTTGCTAACTAGTCGGCCGATAATGCGGCCAATTTTGTATTCAGTGACAAAATAAAAAAAATCTTACTGAGTTTAAGAAGGCGTTTTAATTATATTTTAGTATAGGGGTAAACAATGCACAACTATAATCCTAGAACAGAATTTTACAAAACATTACCTATAGTTCACTACATACTACAAATTAAAAAAAATAAATTTAGGGTAGGTACTTATGGGATATGATGAGTCAGAAGTGGTGTGATCATGACTCCTGGGTATATTTTCTATTCAGAAACTTGTTTTTTAAAAAACATTTATTTAATAATTAAAATACAGAGGTGACAAAAGAAAATAGGTGGATCCAGTTGCTACAGCAAAAACTGGGAATAATTAAACCTTCCTAATGGGACTGCGTTGGCTTAAATAATCATTTAATCCCGATTTAGCAACTTCATGTTTGCTGACTTTACAACAATGTATTTAAAAAATCATGGCTCATTGAGGCATATAAAAAATGGATAATTGATTATTAATTAGTGTGGCAATTGGTTAATATACCTAACTCGATCCTCCCTCCTTAAAATGTTGCAAATGTGGATTGTTGTTTATGCAAATCAGACAATTCAATTTTCACATTTGCAAAACCTTTTTCTGAAGTTTTAAACTTCCTAAAACAGTAAAACATTAAAATTAGGATTAAAATAGCAAGCCTTAAACCTATGAATAAATATGTATTTAAATAAGAGTTTTCAAATGACAATTCTTATGAACTCCTATTTGTTTCGTCGTCTTGAAAGCTTCTTCTAGGGCTTTTTGGTTGATTTCTTGAAGTTACAATATTGTTTCATTCTCTGGAAGTTCAGGGATGTTCTCGCTGGTTTTTGAAAATGTTTGATTTTGTATTTTTACAAAGCATTTTTCAAAAGAAATTAGCGTTGAATTGGTTATAATTTCCATATGGTTTGTCTTGTCACATTGAATAACTATCGTCAGGCCTTTCTTAGGGATGACTAATACTTGTCCATTCGGGAGTTGTCTCACTGTTGGTTTCTCATATTTCACTTTGGTGAAAGGACATTGTTGTGGTAGGTACGTCAGTAATCAGGTCATAGACACATGATTCTTCTTGCTTGAGCTCTTCTTGGTTACAAGGGTACACATTTTCAACTTTTGAGCATTCCCAGTAAGTAATAGGTAAGGGTAGTTTTATTCCTAATGGTAAGTTCTTGGATAGGAATTGGATACATTTTATGTAATACAAAGGGCTTGGGATTGATCATTGGTGTGTGTATGATAAGTATAATTAACTCATTTTGGATTTTTACTTGAGTTTTCATTGTCTCGTAATACTTGATTTTATTATCAAAAGGTATTTGTTGACTTTTGGGTATATTTGTTAGTATTTGATTTAATTCATTATGCTGTAAAATAGTACCTACCTATAATGAATTATTCCCAATTGAGCAAAATTTATTGCTATTTGCACATGATCAATTAAATTCCTTATTTTATCACTTTTAATGCTGATATTATTTAATCTCAAATTAAAGGTTAAAATTGAATGGAAATTTTGGTTTTCCAAGGAAATATTCTGTAATTTTCCTGTGATAACCTTTTGGTTAGATTCGATAGTTCGAAATTGATCGTGAAATGTTTTTGTAACTTGTTTTAATACTCGAGCTTGTATATTTTTAGATCTTTATTGAGAGTCCTTTGATTGTCATTGAGCGTCTGGATATAAGAATCATATTATCTTGCACCGCCGTCTTCACCATCTAGGGTTCCGTAGAGCCATTTTTGTGCTGAATCCATGAAATTAAATAGACCTTTTTTGTGTCGTTTACGGTCTTGATGGGTTTTAATAATTTGTTTCATAATCTTAATTTGAGAATAACTGGTTTCAATATTTGTTTGAAACAGTGCAGCAAATTGGTTTGACCATGTTGTTTTAATTAGTGTCTCAGATAATTTCATTAGGTTTATTTCTACTTCATGGTTACCTTGTATGATAATTGTCGTATTCGTATTAATGTGATAATAGGCCGTGTTATGTTGAGTTGTTACGTAAGTAGTTCCTAGATAAAATTTTCTACTGTCATCAATGTAAACGCTTGGGTGACTCCCACGAGAGTAAGCAATACTAAGGGATTCATCTCGGGGTACCTGAAATAAATAATTGTCGTTGAACATTTTGTTTAGCAAACCCATTCTGTGTTTTGATATCATAACGCGGACTTTTCTATTAAATTGTTTTACGAAAATTGGATCTTGCAATTCTGGTTCGTGTTCACTATTTTTATTGCGTGATTCTAAAGACTTTGTTTGTTTCGCTAACAATTTTTTATAAATCTCTTTATTCAAATTTGTGAGGGATTCTGCCAAACTTGTTATATAGTCCGTTGTTAGTTTATTTTCTGTTTGTTAATACGTATATAACATCCTGTACCATTTGTGCCCGAGACTAGGGTAGAAATGACCATATTTCCACAATAAACCTTTTCTGGATGAATCGCAATAACTAGTTCTACCCCCTTAAACCACCCTCAAAGTTATTTCAGCTACCCTAAACGGTGTATATTAGTACTGCCTATAACATCCTGTACCATTAATGCCCGAGACTAGGGTGGAAATGTCCATATTTTCACAAAACCCCTTTTTTCGATGAATCGCAATTATTAGTTTTACGCCCTTAAACTGCCCTCAAAGTAATTTGCAAGTCAAGTGAGGTTCCCCAAACGATGTATTTTGGTACTGCCTATAATTTCCAGTACTGTTTGTGCCCGAGACTAAGGTGGAAATGTCCATATTATTACAAAAACCATTTTTGTTGATGAATCGCAATTATTAGTTCTTCCTCCCTAAACCACCCTCAAAGTTATTTGCAAGTTTTTTTAGGTACCCTAAATATCGGTACTGCCTCAAAATAAAAATAAAAAATTCAGGGGAGTCGAGCCGTCAGCCGAAAGCAGTCACCCCACCCCATATTATAAAATATGTTAATATGTATTTGACAGTTATTTATTTTCAGTTTAGTTTCTGTTGAAAAACAATAATTATTATTGATTTCAACTTATTTATTTTATTATTAAACCAGGGATATGGGTTGATCGCTTGGATAGGACTGTCATCCGTCCGGATTCCCCCGAATTTATTCTGGTTTTCAAGGCGTCGGGAGAATTTTTTTGAACTGAACGTTGTTAGGCGTCGTACCCGGAAAAATTTTTCGCATCCGGCTGGCTTTCCCTTTCTAATATTTTCCCAGAATATACAATCAATCAATCAATCAATCAATTCTTTATTGTTTAAAAAGAATATACATTCTTATAACATTAGGTCCTACACAGTACTGGTCTTAATCTAATTAATGCCACATTTCTTATACTTATTTGCTACACGTTCAAATATGTAAACCCAAATTCAAAAAGGACAAAAGATAATACTTTATATTAATTTTGGTACAAGGAGAAAAGGAAGATAAAATTAAAATCTAAAAAAAAATAGGTCTATTCATTTTTTAAGAACGATCTAAGAATATACAAATATTACAAAAGCAAACAATAGAGAGTTTTGCTAAATTATCTTCATTTGTTACCCCCTAATAGGATAATTCGCCATGATCACATATTCTTATCTTCATCACACAAAGCTGAATAAAATAATACTAAAAGTTTAGATTTTGAATTTAATGCCTATTTTCGCTGCCCATTGCAGGAATAGTTCGCTTCAACCACGTAGCGTTTACGTGCAGACGGAATCAGTTTCGGAATATTAAAACCCGATAACGGGGCTCGATGGCGCATCACACATTAACCAACGCAATTGTCTTACAGGTATTACGATTCAAGAATTTTTTTTAGTACGACAGTGTGGGTATTGATGGTTCAGAAATTTGGTTGTAAAATGTACGTGACCTGGAATTTTTTTAGGCCTTAAAAGAATCCTGTTAAGTTGGTTTACATGGAAAAACAAATTGTTAGACACAACATCATTAAAAGCAAGCGAGCAAGAATCAAGAATTTTAATTGAAAAAGACGACGTCATAATTCCTAAATCCCGTAACCAGCACTTCGTCCCCTTTTATTCCCGTTCTGTTTTCTCTGGGGAAGCGCGTGTCGCAGCATTTCCCTTTTACACACAAATCAGCAGGAGAGTATCGCAGCAGACGATACGATAATAAACCGTTTTCAGTATAGTGCGTTTAATACGTCGTCGTCATCTTGATGTCTCTTTCAGGCCGATACGGCACTGACATACCTATGGGGGAAATTCTGCGGCAAATGTAATAACTTTTACTTGTAATTAATTATCAGTAGATTTGATTGATGTAAAAACAAGATATTCTATTGGTTATTCTAATATGTATTATATACTAAAATAGTTATCCCCTATTAGATTCTTCTTTCTTCTTTTAATGCTAAAAATCTCAAACTGTATTAAAAAATTTTTAATTGAAAAATCTCGATTCATTTTTTATCATGATAATAATACTTCACCTGAGATAAAATCGTGCATCGCTTTTTAAAACGTACATTATTGGTGCAAATAGTCTTTATCGTGCGCTTTCGCTTCCCGCAGGATATTTTCATCGTCCTTATTGGACGTCTCTTCAAAACTCGTCTTCTCGGCCGACAACAATTCAATTCGAAACAGATCGATATCCATATAAATTGATTCCCGATGCGATGGTTGACAGGGACTGGGGAAGCTTGGCCCTGATTACACTATATAGAGGGTGCTTACTAACGAGCATGTTATTATTTACAAATTTTCATTATTTTGTAGCAAACATTTCTACATTGATGCTTTATCCATTTAAACATTGAAATTATATAAATTTTTCTTTGGATTGGCAGGAGAGGGAATCCAAACAAACTTAAAACGTGGATAAAGAAAACCTACTTGAAATTCAACAATATATGAATAATGCAATTTATAAATCTAAAACTTTTACCCCAGTTATGGTATCTATTTCATTTATAGCCCACATTAGTACAATTACTCATAAATTATTCAAAATGATCTGATTAATGAATATTATTTCTCATTTCCCGCTATTTGCAGATGCTTTGGGTTGTATAAGGACAATTAAATTAATGT